CTATAAATACACAAAAAAAAGAATCAGGGGCACCCCTAAAACAGAATCAGGGGTTATAACGTGAGTTTTAAAAGACTAGAGTACTCATTATGTAAAATACTTTGGACTTTGTCCCGACGACACGTCAATTAATCACCCGCATTTTCAAAATGAAGACGGCTAGTGCTTATGGTCCACCAACGGCTTCTTATCAAATCACATATAGACACGTCACATAGAGACGGCTAATGCTTCTGGTCCACCCTATTTGTTTTCTTTTCCTTCAAATTAAAATCTCCAACGGTTGGATAATAACAGAAACTAATAATACTACATGTCATACGATATTATTGGAAATGCCAATGTATTTCTTTTTTGGTACAACAGAACCTAGTGGATTGACATATACAATGTAAGTACTTTTTAAATCATCTGATTATTTATTTTGGACCATTCATAATTTACGGTAACCACACAACTTGAGATTGATGGAATACCTGAGATTGGTTTTCTGGAGACTGTCTTGTGTTTATTTATTGAAAATAAGATCATATCTTAAACAGGGTAAATGTAATACAATTCAAAGAGCATTTTGGCCAAGCAAGTAGTTTCTTCTTTTCCCTTCACAGTTATCAGAAAACCAAAGAGCATTTCACCATTTTGATTAAATCCAGATTCACAACTTGATCACTAACATATCGTAGATGTTTCCCACAACCTGCCAAAAAAAAAAAAACACAAGACGAAAGTATTCAGCCAAATCTCACAATAACAAATCCAAGAACTACATAGATCTAGATTGAAATTCTCACATACCATTCACTTCTGATCAAGATCAACGGTTCAGGGAGAACAGCATGCTCTGACCACCAGGCAAGTAAGCCACATTAGGAGATCTAGCAAGCGTAGCTGCAACCTCTCTCGAAGCTTCAATCCTTCTAAGCTCGATAAGTCCCATACCAGCTTTAGCCGTAGCGTCAGAGATCAACTGTGCAGCTTCACTCTCACCTTCAGCTCTTATAACCGCGGCTCTCCTCTCTTGATCAGCCTTCATCACCACAAACTTAGACCTCTCTGCCTCCTGTTGCGCCACCTGTTTCTGCTCGACAGCCTTTGAGAACTCATAACCGTAAGACAAGTGCGTGATGGCGACATCGTCGAGCACAATGTTGAAGTCTTTGGCACGTTTGATTAGCGATTCACGAACAAGCGCTGAGACGTGAGGACGCTCTGTGAGAAGCTGGTCAGCGTTGAACTGTGCAACCACGGCTTTTAAAACCTCGTTTCCAATAGAAGGAAGAACCTTCTCGTCGTACTCTAGACCCAGAGTTTGGAATATGTATGGAAGACGCAAAACCTTGATGCATGATCAGCCATACAATATGATTAAACGCAGTATAATAAAAGACTACACGAACAATAAATTTAGGTCCGTAATCCCTAAATCCAATTCCGAGATCCGAACTTTGATAACATCTGCACAACCTCAATATAATTAACATCACATAAACAAGTCTAATACTCAAAACACAATATGACTAGAGCAGCATAAAAATTCTACATTTCCATAAACCCTAACCCCTAAATCCAATTCGGATATGAAATTCGAACTTTTAACACTAGATTATATAATATGGTTAAAGCAGCATAAAGATTCTACATTCCCATAGACCATATCTATAACATGGGAGACGCACAACCTTGCGCCATGATTAACATCAGCATAAACAACTCAAATACCAAACAATACGATTAAAGCAGCATAATGAAGACTACACGAACAAGGATCTACACTGCTTATAGTCAAAACCTTGAACCTTAATCCCTAAATCCAATTCCGAGATTTGAATTTTATAACATCTGCACAACCTCAATATGATTAACATCACATAAACAAGTCTAATACTCAAAACACAATATGATTAAAGTAGCATAAAGATTCTAAATTTCCATAAACCCTAATCCCTAAATCAGATTCGGATATGAAATTCAAACTTTAACATCAGATTATACAATATGTCCAAAGCAGCATAAAGTTTCTACATTTCCATAAACCCTAAACCCTAAATGTATGAATCTGCACGAACAAAGATTCCAACACTCCTTATAGTCAAAACCCTAAACCCCCTAAGTCCAATTCCAAGATTCGAACTTTAATAAGACCTGCACAACCTCAATCTCCGTGGCTATCAAGCAAGTCTAGTTCGAAAGTATACCTCAGGGCGAGAGAGAACACGGAGGGTGAGATTGACCATCTGAAGATCCTTCGTACCGGAGATCGAAGAGAACGTGTGAGGCTTTGTGCGGATGTCGAAGATGTGAGGCTTCTGCAGAATCGGGATAAGGAAATGAGTCCCTTCGCCCACAGTCTGATCCATCACTCCCCTGAATCGATCGAAGATCACAGCTCTCTCTCCGCCGTCAACGGTGTATAGCGACGTGTTCAGCACCGTCGTCGCCGTTCCAAGACCGAAAGCCGCCTTCGCTAGATTGGAAAGGAACGAAATCGCTGCTTGTTGACTTCCCATTTTGTCGATGAGGATTACGATGAGATCGTGAAGAACGAAGTGAGGAAGAAATTGAGAGGACGAGTAGAGGAGAAGAGTTTGGTTAGGGTTTATGAAAATGATCTGGAAGCTACTGTGGGAAATGTTTTAATGGGCCAAGTTAAATACCCAACTAACATGAGGGATAAGTCCACTAAGTGCCCCATGGAATGTTAGAATATAGATTGGCCGCATAGGAGAAAAACACTTTACAAGGATAACGTCTATTACATTTACAACTGATTAAAAATCCTAAGAAGGGTTTAACAAAAGTACCAATAATTCACTTGTTTTTCTTATTATTTTCTACATATCTCAATAATATTATTAAAAAAATCGGTTTTCTACGTATCACACTCATGTTTATTTTAATGATTGTAATTACGAATGTACCATTTAATCAATTAGACTATATATCTAATTACCATTATTAAAAGTATTGATAATTTATGTCAGTTAAAAGTTTTAATTTTAGGTTCCATTTCAGTATTTTAGCATGTAAAAATTAAATTTTAATATATAATTTAGTTTAAAAAAAACAGTTTTGATGCTAAAAATAATCATCTCTTTAAAAAACAAAATATGTATTCATATTTAATAAAATATCTTATTTATATCAGGATATATTATCAGATTATTAAAAATTAATTTAAATAGCATATAATAAAATATCATTGATGAACTAAAATTTACTACTGGTATGTTTATTCATTTCTACATCATTTGTTTTGTTATTTTTTTAATTTTAATTTACATTTTTATAAACTTTAGCCAAACCTAATATACCACCAAAAATTCTTTAAGGTTTAATATTTTTTGTTTTTATGTTTATACAACATAATACATCCATAATAAGAATATATCAAACAATCTGAATTTTTATGGTTAAGAGTATTTAGATTAATGAATGTATCTATCTATTTATTTATATAAAGTATAGTTTACTCCCTCCTGCCTCTTCCACGTCATTAAATAAGAGAAGGAGGGAGTACCACGTGTCCTATTGTATGATTATACAATGCGTTTTGTTTTTGGCTAATCTTAACATTAATTGGGCTTTCAGTTTAAATTAATAATCCGTGAGCCCATCAGCAACAAACCCTTTTCTTCTTCTTCCACTACACACCGAAATTAGGGTTTTTCCTCCTCTTCAATCTCCGATGTCAAAAAAAATCACCTGCCTTCTCTGAGACTGTCAATGGTGTTTCGAGATATTCATTTACCCAAATCAACCTGAAGCATCTCTTTGTTGGTTAACAATCACGTCATTAAGTCTTCTATTCAAATCAACCGAAACTCTCCAGGTTACGGATTCATTGCCTATATCGCCATTCTAACTCCATACACCGACATGAAGCATGATCTGACATTGAATGCAAGTTATCCCTCTAGAAGGCGGTGTATCCACAACTATTTAAAGGTTAGCCTTCTTTTCTTCAACATCATCATCTCGATCCGTGAAAACATCGAAGTTAATATATTTTCTCTGAAATGGCTAACTCATCAATCCTCCTTTCAAATTTGAAGTTTGAAGTCTGGATTCTGGAAATCCAAGAATTGGGAGGCCAAGAACATCAAACGTTGTGGCAAGCTGATGTGGATGGATACGCTACTATTGGATGCAAAGGTTATTATGTTCTTTAACTCATGTTCATAGTTTTATTCAACTTTCCTACGTGTTAGACCTCATTATCAAGCTTTCCCATTCATATCTTTGTTGAACATATTTTTGAATGAGTAATTTTGAAACCATTTATTGATTATGTCGTCTATTTCACATGTGTTTCAGCAATTAGTTTCTTATTTTTTTGTGCAAATTTGATCACCAGCATCTTCTTTTGTGTTCATAAGCTAAAGTTATGACTTATGTGATTTAATATGTTTTCGCGTTATTTAGTATTTCTCTGTGGCTCTGGCGAGATGTATATGTCGCCACCCAAGTGTGTGCACATTTTCTCAGTTATTTTACAGGTTTTAATGAAATTTGTTTTTTGGTTTGTTTTTACACTGTTATCACTCAGTGCTGAATGCGGATATTATTATTAAAATTGATTTAAGAATACGGTCAGATTATGCTCTACCTGACCCATGCATATATAATTTGAATCCATTTAGGAAACCTATAACATTGTGAGGTTATGATCATGTGCCTAAGTTTTATTGCTCACTGCAGGCTTTTACTGAATCATTTGGTTTATCCCAAAAGCGAGGTAATAACTAAAAAATTTCAATGAGTGTTATTATCATTAAGCCTTACGCTACAGCTCAGACTCATACAATATGCTTCTCTGTTTTATAAGTACCAGACTGTGCTCTTTGGTGTCTCAAGGAAAGAAATCTGCTCTCAGGTATATGGTTAAATATTTGGTTTCATTGCTTTTCAAAATAAAATTCCTATTTCTCAATTTCTCTCATTTGTGTTGGGTTCAATTTCATTTTCTTAAATCACTGTTGAGTCATGTGGCCGGACAAAGGAACATGATTATATCATCTTTCCCAATATTTTCACTTTATTTGAGAGTCTTTGTCGATTCATTTTTTTTGCAGAGACAGTATTAATGGGTTGGTGAAACTCTTTGTATGATATTGCAAGACTTTCAGCTTAAAAGACCGAAAGTCCATATTTCTGAAGTAAAAGGACATGAAAGAAAATTGAATAATGAACCAAAATTTGGAAAAAGAATTTTGATAGAAAATGATTGGGTTTTGATTATGTTTTGAATTCATACTATAGATTGTAAGCTCTTGATATGTTCTCAAACTAGAAGCACATAATGCATCTGCTACTTTGTAGGTTCATCGCAATTGTAACTCTAAAATGTCTAAAAGACTCTCTATAGCTCCATCGGCAGGATTCCCAAGTTTTGTCTTCGTCCAAGGTATAAGTATTTTCCCTATTATAGTTTTACGTTCTACACTCTTTTATCTTATGTATTAGCATATTTTGAAAACCATATGTGATAAGAATCTATCATTTGAGTTCCAGAACCTATAATCATGTGGTCAGTCGTCACCGTTTTAGCAGTGGTACCCCATTTTGGGTTAGCTAGCATTCCATTACATGTTAAGTTCAAGCTGGTTACTCTTCATTGACTGGGAAAAGATGAATGTTTCTTCGAGCGAGAGTGTGCACCCCAACAGTACATATTCGTCTCTCAAGTTAGCTATGGAGATTCTGAAATGGAGTGAGGAGAGAACAAACATTTGCATGAGTGTATACTCTATGTGCGGCACTGATCCAATTTCTTCTCAAATCAATGTATTCATATTAAAAACATATCTAATATAAAAAGTAGCCATCATCTGGAGTAGAGATTCCTACACACTGATGTTAAGTGATTAAGATTCAGTTCAGCTCATTCATCTCTTTTTTGGACTTGACCATTGCAGCTCTTGGCAACGAAACCATGAATTGAACTCTCTAACTATTGGCTGTTCCTTAAAGAAGATTCACATTAACATATTAACAATTCTGTCTCTGGTGCGATCACGTGGACAATATTCACTCACAACCCATCCTTCCTAAGTACTCTTCTTGAGCAGCAACATATTCACTCACAACCCATCCTTCCTAAGTACTCTTCTTGAGCAGCAACATATTTGTTTTTGACTGCAACATTAATTATCGACTTAATTAACTTCATTTGGTAACTAAATGTCTTTTTATAAACAAACCTCTTGCAAATTACCATGTAGATACTATATGTTTTGAACAAAGTGTTGTCCAAGGTTGAGACCTCACAATAATAATAAGAAAATATGAGTGGAAAACATAAGAGGAGACAAAGTTATACCATATTAAGCAACATCGGGCTAACTAACGTTTTTTAATTTTTCCTAACGATCAATGATGCTATATCAAATTAAAACAATCCTCCAAAAAAATAGATTAAAAGAGATATGTTAAGTTATTCTAACTAAATAAATATATTTTAAATATTTATCTCATGAATTCTAAAGAAAAACTATAAACATAGATCCACAACTGTGTAAAATTAAAATATATTGTTATATAGTCGAATATGAGCACAATATAAAATAATGTAAGAAAATGAATAAAATTAGGTAACTTAAAATTAAAAAAATAAATCAACAATTCTATAACATTATAAAAAAGCAAAATAAAATTTCAAATAAACAAACTTAATAATCGTAAGGTAAAATTTATTTAATTGTAATGGAAATAAAACTAAATAAAGAATAATAATTTATACTAATATAGAACAAAATATTTTGAAAATAAAAAAAAAATATTAAACAAGTATCAAAAATATTTAATCTAACTATTTAAATTATTTTGAAATTGTCATCCCACCCGTAGGGCGGGTCGACTCTAGTATATTATACATCTAATGTATTAATTACTTAAAATTCAGAAAAAGTAATTATTTTATAAACATTGATATTTGTTCATGAGTTATTAAAATTCATCGTAATGTTAGTTTACAAAACTTTGTGCTTTTATACTTAGATTTGAAAATATGTGTAACTCAATATAACCCACAAAATGAATAATTTAAACAATCTAGAATCGATCATATCGAACTGACCATCATATGGATAGTGTTGTATTGTCTCATTTTTATATCTAGTTAACAAATCACTAATGAAAAGGATGAGATCATGATCATCTATTTTAATTTGTAATGACTCTAAGCTCCCAACCACTAGTCCGAGACCAGTAAACAGAACCAACATAATTTATTATTTGATTTAACAGTGAATGCTCTCATCAATACAACCTCAAAAACATGGAATTAAAACCTCAAGAACAAGGAATTCACAAGAAATTCAAACTATAATAGATCTAGATGATGTTAAGATTATTAAAAGTATACCATTAAGCATGACTTATATGATCTATAAAGACAGATGGCACTTCACTAAACATAGAAAATACGCAGTCAAATCTGATTACCAAGTAGAAAGTGTGTATCCAGGCACAAGAAGGCCGCTATTTGTGTATGGTCCAAATGTAACACTTT